TGCTAGTAACATGTTCTTCTTGATCTGGAGGTGGCATTTGAAGCCTGGGCATCATGGGTTTTATTTTCTTGCTGTGCTTTTACTCTCTGTACACTGTTAGTTCTAGATCTCCCCGTGGAGATCCGGACCCTTACTACCCTCCCGGCCTTCCGCAAAGCCACCAAGTCCTGGCTGCTCCACTGGCCAGGGGGCCTGTGAAATATCCAGCCCCACGGAAATTGTGAATGTTGTGTTTTTTAAAGTGTTTTTTTGTTTATTTATCCCCTTCCCTTGTTTATTGTAAGCCGCCCGGAGTCCTTCGGGAGTGGGCGGCATACAAGACCAAATAAACTAAACTAACTAAACTACTTGGAACCCCCATGTATAGTGCATCCACCTGATAATGGATCTATTTAAAAAGGAGGGGAGGGAGAGAAAATGCAATTAATTAATTAATTAATTAATTATGCTTTAAGCAAAAAAGCAAGTCATAATTTCTAGTCCCACCTTAGCCTGGAAACTGTCTGGGTGTGACTTTGAGCCAGTCACTCTCTCAGCTCAACTCATCTCACAAGGTGGTTGTTATGAGGAAAATAAGATGAGGAAAGAGTATTAGGATGTCCGACACCTTGAGTTTATAAAAATAATAAAGGCAGGACGGACACACACACCACACACACACACAGAGTGGAAGTTAGAGGGGTTTTTTTGATAGAAGGTGATTTCTCTTTGTTTCCAGAAAACAGTATGGATGTGGATGGATAATCACTGGGCACCAAAATGGAATGTTTATTTTTTTTACACTTTAAAAAAAGGGCTGCAGACTATTTAGATAAGAGGTATAGACTTTCCACCTATAGAGCTTTCACACTGCTTTCATCTCTCAATATGCTTGTTAAATAAAGCCCCCCCCCCCTTGCTCTGTGGAATCAGTCTTGTGGTTTACTGCTTGGAAAGGAAGAACTACCATTTTGCATGCTTGACTTCTTCTCCACCCCCTGCAAGAAATCGGATTAATAAGGTATCCATTAGTTCCAGTAGAGGATTTGTGGCCTTTAATTATCATGGGAGGAGGGGAGTTCACAGTTAAGGGAAGAAGAATTAATCCTCCCACAAATGTACTGTGATCGGCGAAATATTCCGGGTGACTAAGTTAAGGGGCGCTGCACTTCAAACTGGATTTAGCAAACATTAAATACCAGAGAAATAAAACTTGTTTGCAGTTTTCTAAGTTTTGCTTTGGAATGCTTTTCAAAGAAGGCCAGTTCAGATGTCTATGTAGGGGGAAACAGCACCTGACTGACCTTGGAGTAAAGTTGGGCCTGGGTGGTACTTAGATGGGACGCTTCAGGGCTGCGGACAAGAATGAGAAGTAAAATACACAACACACACACACGCACACACACACACAGGCAATGGCAGAATATTTCCACACTGCTGTGAAGGAAACTGTGAATGTGTTCCTGATATTACTAAGTTGACCTTCATAAGATGCTTAACAGTGTACAAATGATCATATCAGACTTGTGCACTATATAGCTAGATTTTTTCCTCCAGGTGGGATGTTGTGTTTGGTGTGTCATCACTCAGGAGTGCTATCAAGGAAAATCTGATCTCATCCAGAACTCCACTGTCATTTAGCCCATCTGATTCCAGACACCTGCCCAAAACATTTGGGCCACACCTGAACCCAAGGAAGAAAACAAAATAGAAATGAGTACTATCATCATACCTATAGCACGGCAGTTCAAGTCCTTAAGTGACTTTAACCAGTGTTTTCATGTAGATTTAAAACATCCTGGGAAGCAAGACTAAACATCAGCTAACACAAGGACCTGGGAATAGCTCTCCTTCAGACGCAGCAATTCAACTATCTGCCAAGAAAGCCAAGAAGTGTAAACAAAACTTTTGCTCTCAAAGAAGAAGCTTATCACAACCTACCGTATTTTTCAGAATATAAGATGCACCTTTTTTCCTCAAAAAAAAAAGGCTGAAAAACTGGGTGCATCTTATACACTGAATACAGCATTTTTTGCCTCCCAAGCCCCTGCCCCCTTCACCAAAATGGCCGTGCATACCCTTATGGAGGCTTTCAGAGAGCTCCTAGGGGCTGGGGAGGACAGAAATGAGTGAAAAATGGGGTGTTTTTTGCTCAGTTTCCCCACACACACACACCGCTCCCAGGAGCACTCTATAAGCCTCCATAAGGCTATGCATGCTTTTTTTTTGGACAAATAATGGGCCCGTTTTTGCAAAAAATGGACCATTTTTTCTTCATGTTTGCCCCTCCAGGAGCACTCTGTAAGCCCTCACAAGACTATTTGTGCCTTTTTTTTAAAAGGCCTGTTTTCGCAAAAAATGGGCCGTTTTTGCGAGGTTTGCAGAGTGCATAATCTTTTTTTTTCCTTTAGGAAAGCTCTTTAGTTAGAGTGATTGATGATGAGAATTACATTGATCAAGTGCTGTGCCTGGAAAACATCTACCTACCTACCTACTGTATTTCTCTCTCCCTCCCCCTACCTACCTACCTTCTCTCTTTCCCTACCTATCTACTGTATTTCTCTCTCTTTCTCTCCCTCTCTATCCCTCTACCTACCTACTTTTTAAAAAAAATTGCCTCTTCAAAACCTTGGTGCGTCTTATACTCCGAAAAATGCGATACATATATTGCCTCCTCCAACCCAACAACTCTTTACCCATTTTATGTCCACATTTTTTTTAAACAAAAAATAATCATAGGAATAGCAGTAGCACTGCCTTTAACATGAATTTCACTCAGAATGGATTTGAGAACTTGCTATTCTCATCAAAAGATTTGAATGAACACTTACTGCATTTCCTTAGGCAGTTAATCAGTCTCTCCCTACTTAGAACTGCTTTAACAGATGGCTTCCCAGATACCCTTAAATCCATAGAAAAGTACATTTCCTTTGTTTCTACCACCGAAAAATACGACTTGACATGTTATCTAGCCTACTGGCTAGCTTGCATCCTGAGCCTTCCCCCACCCTCTCAGATTCTATCTGTCCTGTGAGCGATTGTGGGTGCACCTCGGTACACCCACGTTACACCTATCCTCCGCGAGCTGCACTGGTTACCGATTAGTCTCCGGATACGCTTCAAGGTGCTAGTCGT